ACACACTCTTAATTTCTTTGTCTCTTTATGGAAAATAAAATATTTTCCTATTAGGAATCCCACTAATATAATAGTAAATGCTGAAAAAAGTGAACACACAAACACAGGGTACTGTAATAACAAGAACAAAACAAAAGATTTGACGGAAGAGAAGAAAGAAAAAAAAGGACAAAGTAAAAGGAAGAGTACTGTTCTGCTCCGGTCCAAACCCACTGACTCAGTCTGTTTCGCATCCCACCCCCCTCAGACATGACGTGTCTTCTTCCCATTGGCCCACCAGTCGTACTGTTCTGTTGACCGAAATCTTTATTTCTCTGAAAAGAAGTTTCCAACCACTGAAACATTGAAACGTGGCAGTGGGGTCTGGGAATTGGTGGGGAGGAAGGTAGGAGCAGAATTGATGAGATGGGAACGGGTGCAGTGGATTGAATGGGGGGGTTGTCTTTACAAAGTACAAATTAAACAGTCTTTATCAGAGTCAGAGACTGAGAGAGAGCTTCGGCAGCAGAAAAACCTGTACTTCCCTGCAATTTTTACATTGTCAAGGAATAGTATTTATTGCTTCTAATTTAATTAATTAAAATAAATATATATTTTTTATTTTTATATTTGTTTTGAAATTACTCAAGTACCCTTTTGTGAGCATGTCTTAAAAATTTAATGAAAGTTTGCAAGCAGCTCCTTTTTCAGTTGCATCTTGTACCTTTTTCAGTTGCATTTTGTACCCCACGACCCGTGCCACTGTGCCTCTTTTGGCTGCATTATATGTGTGCATCATTGCGACTTAAAGGTTGGGGGTACTTTAGGAGTTTTGTGTTGAGAAGAAAAATTTTGCCTCAACTAGTCAACCTTATAGTTATAGGTCATTCTCAAAATTGACCCAAACATTTAGTTCTTTCCAATTATACTCCAAAACATCCTAATCATCCCATTATTTCTGAATCATCACTTAAAGTAATTAATAGAAAACTCCTGTTTTCAACAAAAAAAAGATGTATGGATTAAGCCCAAAAAAATTATTAATACTTTCACAAATACTAAAATAAATACTATTGCATAAAAAGAAAAGTCTATCAATACTTAAAATTAAGTGAGATTGTGTATTAAAATGTCTAATGAGATGCTTAAATAATTAAATTCCTGCCTTGGGTGTCCATGTTGGTGGTTCGGAGTGATTATAAGTAAGGAAGGAGCGTACTTGGGTGTACCATCAAGAGTTAGTCAGCTAGCTTTAGGGCAAAAAGGAAGGAATTAGTAGTTGAGGGCATTATGTGAACAAACCATGAGATCTTAGGCCATAAAAATATATTAACTGAAAAGTAACTATACTGTTTTTTTGGTGCAAAAAAGTAACTATACTGTTACAAACGAAAACCCCCATGCTCATTGCCAAACGAGGAAGTCAAGGAAACATAATCTGCCACGCTCAGATGCACGATACTTACCACGAACCATTTTCTCAAATTACGTATTGATATCTCTAATCACCAATCTCATGGCTGAAAAGACATGTTATTCTCATGCAATTTGGTGGTATGATATAAAAAAAAAAAATCATTTACAAAAAAGAAAAAAATACAGTTTGTCCTCTCCTTTACCTCGCCTTGGTGGGAGGAGGGGGGAAAGTCTTGCTGGCTGTGCAAGTAAGCAAGTTATATATGTCCTCTAGACTATGGAGGTTTCTTTCCCTCCCTTGTTCAATTTTTCTCCTTTTGTTCTTCTTTTCCGTTTTTCTTTTGGTGGCTCATATGGTACGTATGGCTCATTAATGGGGCTGTTTGGCGAGTGGAGACAGTACCATGTACTATTTCTGGAATTCTCTTTACTCATGGAGATAGGGCTTAGGCTTGGTCGATTTGGCCTGCCCGATAATTCCATGTAATTATTTATTTTTAGTAATGATTAT